TTTATTACAAATTTGTCAGTTATTCCGCATTCATCAGCCTGCGTCGAGAGAATTTTCTCTCAAGTTAATAACGTGAAGACTTCAAAAACCAACTTTTAAAGCCACAATTACCCGAGACCGAATCGTCGCTAAACAAACGTGGACGAAACGTGGTCAGTTGCAAGAGCCATTTACAGGAGACACGAAAGTAGATTAGTGAATGCAAGACATGCTGAAAAAGCTGTTGTTTACGAAGGGGATGAGGATGAATGATAATTGTAATATATTAAATAACTGATAAAAAATTGTAAACATGTTAAATTGTATTTGTGTTTATTCCTATAAATCCATACTCATTCCTATGTGAACAACAATTATTTATTACTATGAATTACATGTTAGGAGAAATCTACATTTTTTCATTCAATTCTAGGTTTTTTCGGAGGTATAATCTAGGTTTTTCAAAAAATAGTAGCTGGCAGCACTGTGTCAAATATCGGCAGTAGGGCTGCGGCAGCCGTAATGTTTGTATCTGGGCTGCTCTCTGTTCGCTTGGTGCAAGTGATTTTAGTGTTACGAACTATGTTTGTCCCTTCGACGATGGTTCCAAGAACGTTAAGAGTTGTTCAGATGATATTGTATGTTCTTAGAGTAATACCAAAAGTACGATCTACTGTGGAATGTACGTCAAGATGAACGTTCCTACAAAAATTAATAAATTAGTGTTAAAAATTTAAATGAGACGTCATTAGGTCTCTCACCCTCAGTATACCCTGATCTACAAAGTTGTTTCACCTCCACAGCAAGAGTGGCAACTATGCCACCAACTGCTTCATAAAACTCGTCATTACCGATTACGTTCCATATCCCACCATGTCTAAGAGACCTCGCTGGGCGGCTTTCAAAGTCTCAAAGACGCACCGGCACTTGGCGAAAATACTGTTTACCAAATACTTTCCTCGTGTGTAAGCTTTCAGCCGGCAAAACTGGCAGTGTGGAAACTTGTAGCGCATACACGCAGCTAATACTAGCCTCCTGTACAGGCGCCTTTACCCTGAAGCCAACGTCCAGCCACAGCAACAGCATACGCCATAGCATACTGCGCTGAAGAGGGAGATGGAGACCGAGGATCGTCAGTTAGGAACGCATCAAACTTGGGTCCATACAATATGAACGCGGCATCAAATCGAACATTTCAAATTTCGTATTCTATACCGTCATTGCAATGCGGTTCGTAAAAGCGGCTACAGTTCAAATACAGGAAAAATTTGCCAGCATATTTCAAGCGAAAGTTATGTCTATTTCAATTACTAAGATAAGTGATGCTATCAAGCAAATCAGTACGAGATGCGTCCGCAATACAACTTTAAAAAATTCTGAGAAGTGTTACAGGAATGAAATTAATTAATATAACGTTCAAACTTGAACATTGGGATCCGAACCATCATGTAAGCTAAGACCTTTAAAAATATCATGGTATAAAAATATATCTATAAATTACAATAAAAAAATTGTTAGTAATGCAAATGAAAACATAAGCTAAAACAGAGCTGTACAGTCAATATGCGAAATAAGTCCAAAATTTACGCGAAATGAAACGAAATTATTCATTTACTTATTCAAAATTCCCTTTAGGATATGCACTTGCGTTGTCGTTGACTTTATAATCTGGTGTGTATAGCTACCTGGTGTTTATAACTACTACCGTAGATTAACTTTTTTCGAGCCTGTCTCGATGTTTAAGTAGTAGGTTGTGTCAGGCATCCGAACAAAACGAAAAACCAAATTCACCTAATTCTCATTTGGTGCCGCTAAAAAACGCGATGTCATGATGCGCGATGAATGAAACTAAATTCCTCTCACGGATCTTCTTCGTCAAGTTACAAATTTTTACTACATTATTTAAATCTATCTTTTTAATTTACAGTTCAGACACATTGCAGTGCCAAAATGCGGGCAATTTGTATCAAACTTCTTTGCAGTTTAAGAGGTGTACGCTCCCTACTGTTCAGCGAATGCTCTCGTGTCAAATATCGTTAAATACGATGATTTTGTAATATCACCGATGTAATCGTATTGCACTTAAACTAATACAAGTGATGATTGAGAAAAAAATCTCGCTGACACCATTCACTAAAGAGGCGACTACAAAATATGACTGATGCGTTGAAGAGATGATGCGTTGAAATAATGTACGTAGAGTTTGAAAATTAAGGTCATACAATACAACAATAATAATATGTCTTGATCTTACTCATGAACAATGCGCGCTACAAACCCCTACTCTATAAATCACAGCCTCAATCAAAGCCTTCGTTACGCTAATGTTTCAATTCAATTAAAAATAACACTATTTTCCCACAAGCATCACAGCCTCACAACAATTTATTATATCAAGACTTATAGCGAAAGGCTGCCATTGAGTATAGAGGAGCTATTTTCTACGAGTAGAACTACAGCAGCACGCATCACACCAAGCTAAGCTCTTGCATAATTATGGGGCTGAGAAATCTTGTAACAATTTCAATCATGCATTTTTCTGAGGAATTTAGAGCAAACGACGTAAACAGTATTGTAAGTTCAAATGTAAAAAGCACGACAATCATGAATGAGAAGACTACGTAAGCTGCTATGCCATTCAAGCTAGTGAACAATACATCTTAAAAATTTGCGATTTAAAATAATTATTCACATGTATTTCTACAATGTACACTTGAAACATAGTCATCATGCGTTGAAATGTTTTCTATGAAAAGAAGGGGTTGTTCACGACACTCAAAGCTTTACTATTACAACAATGCATTTCACGTCACTAACCTAATTTATTACGTATTCAAACAGATGAGATAAGTTCCATTATATGTGTTGAATTGATTCCCTAATTATGTTGACTGTTAATTCACATTGTCTGCGCTGCTCATAAACAAAAATTTTGGTTTCAATAGTTAATGCAACACGAACACAAAATTTGAAGTCACACAGTTTAATTGACCATAAAAGATGTATTCTTATTTTCAATATATCTTAATACATTAATAAAATTAGATTGATATATTCAATACGAGAGTGAATATATTATCAGAGCTTGCACATTTATGAGTACAGACAATAATCAAATCAAGCTTTAAAAATACAGAGGATGTTATGCGCACCGGAGCAGAAGGATTTACAACGGTTTTCTCTTGTAGGTTGTCTTGTAATCAATTGGCTGGGCACTATTATAAAAACGGCAATATTTTACACGAGTTTGATACCAGACATGCAAAAACTTACACAGAATTATAGGTAGCCAACTTTTTTCAATGCGACACTTTTGTTCTCTGAGGGTGTGAGGTAGGTTACTCTACAAGACTAAAAATAATATAATATAGGATACTGACTTGTTTCGTATGCGCCAATGAGTGCAATTAACAAAGTAAAACTTATCTACTTTACTGAAACTGAGTCATGTTCAAAAGCGAGCAGCCCTATGCAATCATCATAATCACTAACTCGCTTTAAGAAGCCTCAAGAAACCGCTTCTCCCTAAACTACAAGAGATTACAAGTTAAAGTAAAGAATTAATTTCCTCGTAGTCGGTTATGCCTCCTGCTTAGAGCTATCGGGAGACGAGTTTCCGCGAGCCTCGAACACAAACCCTGGTAACCAAAATAATTAGGCAAATGTGGCGCAAAAACTTCAACCATTCTACCCACAAGTTTTGAGACTAAGTTGGTGTAAATTGCTGATGCACTCGTAACACCTGAACTGGAGACTCGTTATAGTGACATTCGTGTATTTCAGAAGGAGATGGAATGCTCCCCACATTCCCTAAAATTTGGTTACCAGGGAAAGAAACGGACGACTCTAATGCACCAGTGAGGGAGAATACAAACATGGCCAGTAGAAAATGACTAATAAAATATCACACTAATTTCTAGAATGGCGGGTGCAAATACTGCACAGATTAATTTGAGTGTTGAATTAGCAGTGATTAGATTATAACACAACTACAACTAGCATTAAAAAGTAATGTTATCGTTGAATGCCTTAAATTCATTGGATTGAACAAAAAAATTGGCAATTAAATCTGTAGGAATTAGTTGTAAAAATATGCTTCCTGCAATATTAATTTTTTATGGTGTATGAAATGTTGCTTTTTATTTGCACCAAATTTTCAAGCTATCTATATCTATCACAAACATCGTAAGCAATTTGCGATGAAAGCAAAATTTTTGCGTGGTAAAGAAATAAATTTCATGGTCAACATCCGTTTGAAATCGTTCCTGAACTAAAACAATGATGTCACCACAAGCTAAAGCAATGCCATTTGTAATAAAAAAACGTTCAAGTCAAAAAGTCACTGCCACCTTAAATCTTTGACTCGTGAATTAATAGATTCCGTAAATTTTATTGATCTCATTTTTAGATCGAGGAAAATTGCATAGGTTTGCTCGGTCGTGAGCACCATCTCAAATATTCGTCAGTATTGCAGCTCTCTCGTCCAGGGATTTGAAACGAGAACGAAATCACAAACCATTAAAGAGACATCATTAAAAAAACCACTCAGAGGAGCCCATTACAATAAACGGACATTGGACGTCAAACTCAAGACTGAAATACCCCCAGGTTCTAGTCACAGCATCACCCCATCCACTCAGGTTATGCTTTCATTATGTTGTAGAGGGCTCGTTGCCACTATACGCACGAAAATGTTTATTTTCTGAGCAACTAATCAGACCCTACATTTCACATTTCTAAGAACTGCGATAAACAAGGGAAACAAAAATCTTAAAAACTATTTTTTTTCCTTTGGAAAATTTTGATTTGACGGTTAACTACAGTAAAAAACTATAAAATAAACTATAAAACTAAAACTATAAATAAAAACTCGCTATATATACATTACAAACCACGAACACCACATCATAAACAATTATAATAAAAGAGATATAAAACACACATCAGAAATAAAGTCTTAGATATAGGTACATATTTATCATCATCGTGAGTTATTGTAGGAGCTTCAACACAAAATAGGAAGCACATTTAAAGCAATGACTGAAATAAATAGAAACTCGAGGCAAAAACCAAAAAAGCATCCATGGCTGTCACGTCACAGAAATGGAATATGCAGGATGCGCAGCAGATTTTTCATTGGCTCATGAAACCAATGTAATAAAACTTTACAGTAATTACTTCCTAGCAATTATTTCTTTTACAGCAACTGTTTCTTAGCGGGGAAAACTTTCCAGACGGGACAAAGAATTAAACATAAACACACCTAAACGATCGTCGAGCGTTGCACGTTTGAAGTGCAACGCTCTCAAATAAGTACCTTCACAGCAGCATAAAATCCATGCAGCAGCCTAAGAGAATTGAAAGTTGAAGAAATATGCTGATAATTCTGAACCAAGGGGGATTAAAAAAGCGTGATGTCATGCAGCAAATTATTTCATTCCTTGTGGACAGATTATTCGAATAAGCCGCTAGGGTGAATTCCGGTTGGAGCGAGGAAAGAACATCGGATTATATGACAGGAGCGGGTCTTGATACATCAATGATATGGGATTCGGGTAACGCAAGAAGTCCAGTGGCCACCTCAGCTCCGGTGGCAACAGTCGCACAGGGCAAGGCTGGATGGGATTGTGCAGCGCCGCATCCATGCCAGGCTGAGAACCAACCAGAGGAGCAGACAAAGGAGGATGATGTCTTGCTGGCGGGTGAGCAGGATAAGTTTGTTCTGCAATCCTTGCAAAATGTTCAGGAAATTGCCTTTGGAGCTGCATTTTGGCGAAGTAATCAAGCCCTTCAAGAGCGTTGGAAGGAGCAGTCTGAGTTACAGATATGCTGTCTCGCACAGTTATACGTTCTCGGGGGTGGCCGATTACTCCGCGAGAAAACAGTTTCTCGTACATGAACTCATCACGATCAACGACGCCACTGTCGTTCTCATAGTTGTGGCAGCCCTCACGCATGTCCCTAATGCTGCGATTTTTGCACGAGTCGAATGCTTTCGACATGGAACTGTAGTCCGATTGCGGCGACTTTTTAAACAAGAACGAGCGCGCACTGCTGAACATCGGAGGCATATTACCTCGAGGAGGCGAGAACATCTGTGGCGTGGCACAGGCTTCGTCTGCTTGTGACACCAACGGGTAAAATGGTGGCATGCGGTTCAGGTACGTCGAGTGTGAAGGAGGAAGCAACATTGGGGCTCCTGTATGAGGCGGCAGTGCAGTCGGGAAATGAGAGTGGATGAGGCTTGGCTCTGTGACGGGTGCATTTGGCCAGCCATCTTCGTCTTTGATCTCCTGTTTGATGGGTGCGGTTGCCTGCAAGAGAAATCGTATTTTATTTTCACTCCTTTCTATTGACATTTAAAAAAACAAGCGTGGATAAGGAGCGAATGGCACGACTACTTATAAAGTAATTAGTTATCTAAAATTAATCAAACTAAAGGCAAAGATACTACGGGATTCAGCCAAATTATTTTAGAAATTATATTCCGGTAACATACGTGATAAAATAACATACGTGATAAAATTTTCATACGCATAATAAATTTTTAAGTGATTTACGACTGCGATCTGCGAGTTATTATTGCAAGGAGCAATGATAACTTACACACACTAAATCTTTGGCTTCAAATTATGTCAGGTGAGATTGACATAAATAAATAGTCAGGTGATGATTATTACGACTATGCTGACTTTATTCTTCATCTGAGATTGACTGGACCTATTTTGAAGCCGGATTCTTTTGTAATGGATATGTTATGTTGTAACTAATATCATAGAATAATAATATGTAATATCCTCACAGTAATACATGGTTCGAAAACCAAAACTCACTCACCTCGAAGAGGGGAGGTGTTGACTGGCTAGGCATGGGCGTTTGAGGGGAATACTTGGGCATTTGAGGGGAATACTTGGGCGTTTGAGGAGAATATTTGGGCGTTTGAGGGGAATACTTGGGCGTTTGAGGGGAATACTTGGGGGTTTGAGGGGAATACTTGGCGATGGAATAAGAAGCGACCGAAGCAGGTGGAGACATCCTGCTGTCAGGTGGAGAGGTCCTGCTGTCAGGTGGAGACATCCTGCTGTCAGGTGGAGAGGTCCTGCTGTCAGGTGGAGACATCCTGCTGTCACGTGGAGAGGTCCTGCTGTCAGGTGGAGACATCCTGTTGTCAGGTTTTAGCCAAGAATTAGGGCCGAGCTCGAGGTATTGTTGAACGTTACATTTTGTCGTGACGGGCGGCTGTAATGTTTCGCTTTGGTTGACTTTTCTTGGGAGAGTAAACTCTGTTTTCAAGATTCTATGCTTGAGACAGGCCCGATTGACTGCAGAGCTTTTATTTGTGCGTGAAACGACGCCTGAGGGAGAAAACGGTCCAAAATGTTTGGGTAAAGCTTCAATTGCTAGCGTGACCGCTTTTACAGCCCCAGCAATAGCTTCTTCACTGCTTCCCTCATCGTACCCTTCTAAGGCCTCAGCACCATCGTTCTGTTGAGCTCCTTCGTGGCTCTCACTGTTACTGTCTTCGTCGTCACTTGAGATCACCTGTAGACGTAACAACTTTTGTACAGTGAAACGAAGGACGTTAAGCAATTAAGCACGATAGCGGCTGAAAATAATACACTTCAGTCCAATAATCGCTAACTTAAAGAATAAATGCACTGTGAAAATATGAGAAATATAAGATAAATGCAAGGTGATATACATATAATATGCAGATATATACATGTAACTTGCGTATACATATAACCTTTTAGAAATACAAGGTTACATGGATATAAAATCGTATGAAGGAATCTTGAATGATTATGCCGTGTTACTGTTATTTAATTGTGAACTTAGAAATAAAGAATTTATCTAGCACCATAAATTTAGCACCATACTGTTCACTGTACGCGCACCATCAAGCTTATTAACTTGATTTTCTAAATTGCTGTGCATCTTAATATAATGCGATTCTCACACGACACTCGTAACATATATGAACAACTTTATTTTCATAAGGGCAAAGTATTGGTGAGAGCCATCAAAATAAAATTATTGATAATCAAATCCTTGTTTCCAAAAGGTTCGAAAATAATATAACCAGACTATCATGTTCATATTAACGTGCCAAAAGCTTACCTTGGCCGTCACATTCGCCCGTCGCACTCGCTGCTGATGCTTCATGACAAGCCGACGCTTGTCTGTCAATTGACAGAGTGGACAATCGCACTTCTCGAACTTGCAGTCGCTTTTGTGGCCACGCTTCTTGAAGAACTCCCCGTGGTTGCGGCATTTATCGCACAACTGAAAATCATTTTGTTACATTGATAAACTGCAATCACTTGACCTGCTGGAAATTATGGTAACTTGACAATTTTTCAAAATTTTTGTTCGACCAGACACGAACAAATTCATTTCACTGTGAATCTAAATATTATTTTCGGCTATTCTGGCACGCTTTGACTTTTTACAACACTTCTCTTTAACTTCACTTCTTGTTGTTTGTTCGTTTGTCTGTTTGCTACAAATCTTATAATCGATATTTAACACACTTCTACCTCTCCAATCGATCTGAAATTTTGCACACTTGCGTAAAGTTGGAGACAATGCAAGAATCAAATGACAAAATAAATGATTTTAAAAATTAAAAAAATTCAATATTAAAAAAATTGAAAAAATAATTTTGTCTGAGCTCTACAAATCTTATAATTGATATTTGACACACTTTTACCTGTCCAATTGACCTGAAATTTTGCACACTTGTGTAAAGTCGGAGGCAATGCATGAATCAATTGACAGAATAAATAATTTTGAAAAAAAGTTTATTCATTAAAATAAATTTAAAAAAATGATTTTTTTAATATACAAAAATAAAATTAGAAATTCATTGTACATCTGTAACATTGGAAAAACTGGATTCTTTAGAAGTGTTGTCTTTAAAAAGTAATTTTTAAACGTATATTATTTATTATTACAACACTTCTCTTTAATTTCACTTCTTGTTGTTTGTTCGTTTGTCTGTTTGCTACAAATCTTATAATCGATATTTAACACACTTATACCTGTCCAAACAATCTGAAATTTTTTAATTTTTTTAATAATGAAAAAAATTTTTTTTTTAATTTATACAATTATTTATTCCGTCAATTAAATCATGCATTGTCTCCAACTTCACGCAAGTATGCAAAATTTCAAACTGATTGCACAGGTAAGAGTGTGTTAAATAGCGTTTTTAAGATATGTAGCAGACAAAATTATTTTTTCAAATTTTTTTTACGTTAAAAATAAAATTTGAGAAATTTTCAAAATTATTTATTCTGTCAATTGATTCATGCATTGCCTCCAACTTTACACAAGAGTGCCAAATTTCAGATCGATTGGAGAGGTAGAAGTGGGTTAAATATCGATTATAAGATTGGTAGCGGACAGACAAGCAAACAACATGAAGTGAAGTTAAAGAGAAGTGTTTTAAAAAGTAATTTTTAAACGTATATTATATACATTGCACATGCTAAATATTGTTTAGTCCGTTTGATTGTTTAATGTATTTTTGCATTCTTTCTTCTGCTCCAGCCCACTGCTTTTCTAAATTTTATTTAATTAATTTAACAATTTATTTATGGAAACTACCTGCACATTAATTCACCAGGGCCGGTCATACCTGTCTGTTGGTGAGCCCATGCTGAGGAAAGTTTTTATTCTTGGCCATCTCACGCCCCTGGTGACGCCACAACGCCTGTTGGTGACGCATCGCCACCCTCGCNTGCTTTTCTAAATTTTATTTAATTAATTTAACAATTTATTTATGGAAACTACCTGCACATTAATTCACCAGGGCCGGTCATACCTGTCTGTTGGTGAGCCCATGCTGAGGAAAGTTTTTATTCTTGGCCATCTCACGCCCCTGGTGACGCCACAACGCCTGTTGGTGACGCATCGCCACCTGCGCCTTCGTCGTGAGCTGGCAGAGGAGGCACTCACAGTCCTTGTGCTTGCATACGTGCCCATTCTTCCTACTGAATACGTTAATAATTTATTAGTTAATTTAGTTTACGTTAAATTTTCATCTATATGAAAATTGAACACCTAGACACAAGTACAGAGGCTTTAATATTGACTAGGGGCAATACCGCCATTCTATATACGGGCTCAATAAAAAAACAATGGTTCAAATTTTAGCTACATATACATATGTCTAAATTAATCGATCTTTATAAGACTAAGCTCATGTTTACAAGACTAAGCAAGTACCACCTGATGTCGCAATCAATCACTAAATGTCGCAAGCATCTTCTGATTACGCAAGCACGCACCTAATGATGCCATGGTTTTTGCAGAAAGTGCAGTGTTGCTTTCGTTTCTTGACGGGTTGCTCCCCAGAGACGCGCATGTTCTTGTTCGTGCTGGGACTCGCTCCCCCGCCTCGCTGTCTCGGCATGCAGACGTTCTGAACAAGGAACATCGGGTATAATTCTTCAACATATTTAAATATTTAGTCTTAGCGAAGTGTCGTCAAATCCCGATGATTGGAAATTGTCATGGATCCCAAAAGATCTATTCTTGCACATCGGGTCCCAGTATAGTATATACATGTATCTTCAAATCTATTAATCCTTATATATCTGTTCTTCAAAGCTTATGCCAAATTCTCAATTTGAATTCGGATTTACTCAGTGAAAATTTTTGAAAAATCGTTGCGCAGTGACTATAAATTGTGGTTTTTAACATTCTACCAAATTGTATCAAATAGAACATTACATTATTTAATTAGAGAAATAATACGAAATTGTGAAAAAAGAGAATAACAAAAATCAATAAACGCACCACATGTCAAGGGAAATCAAAAGAGTATTTGTGGTAAACAAGAATAAACGCATGTCAGGTTTAATTTATTGAAACGATACCAAAAATTATTGCCTGCTATTTTTAAATCGCTACCATTCATGATGAACATTTAGTTTACTCCATCACGCACCAAAATGCATTAGGGACGAACATAAAACTCCCCAAGAGCTATAACTTTTTATGCTTTGAAATGAGAACAACTCGATCTCATTTAAAAAAATTATCATCAGACAGGAACCGGCATCTATGCTATGTAACATTAGTAATATAAACTTCATGAGGTAAATTCGAAGATGCTTGGGCTCACGACTGCACGAACGACACTCGCATAAATTCGTTTGCTGTAAATGAGTTGATTCTAACACCAATTTACAGATCACAAGGGTTTGAAATTTACAGAAATGAGGCATATGAAGATACACTGTTAAAAAAATTACCGTTAACGGTATTACCGGCGTTTCAGTGGCCGGTCGGCACGTGAAAAGAAACACCGTGTCACAGTTTTTATTCAAATTTAACACTAGAACTACGTGAAACATCTGATAAAAACGGCGAAACAGTTTATTTTCACAGGGCGACCGGCCACTAGAATGCCAGTGGGACCGTTTTTTCACCGTTTTTTCTAACAGTGTACGGTCAAATAGTCCACTTAAATATATCAGAAATGAATAAATCAGATGAATGTATTGAAAAATTTTTGAACGAAATTTTGGATTATGGTAGCTGAAAATGACTGCAATTAGTGCCCTTATAAGACAAATAGTTTCGCAACATAACGCAACTTCCGCAAAATTAGAGTTATCAGACCAATCTAATTTATTCCTAATGAATATTATTGGAATTCATTAAACCGCAGAGTTGCCTGATGTTGCTTTTAACGATTTTATCGACGTCACTGGCGCTCTCAGACGCGCGCGCAGGAAATATAAAGCTCGACGTGCCGCCAGAAAGTTGCGTGAGGATTTGAACGACTTCTAAAAAGTGATCCGCGAAGTAAAATAATATCAGCTTAATTTGTCAATTACAACACATATCTTTCATTGAAGATTGCAGGTAACAGCCTGAAAAACTTAGCGACAGTAGATCGATTCAACTTCAGTTTTGTATGATTAATTATTTACAATAGTTTCTTGCACTTAGTTAATTAATATAAATACCATCAGTAAATTTCTCCTAAATCGGAACAAGTCATTATAAAGTTAGATTTACAGGAAAAGCTTTTATTAAAACGTACAACTCGTATCATTCTATAAGATAGTAAGTAGCTTGAAAATTTATTTTACACTCACCAATATCAGAGACTCGTTCATATGACCTCTTTCCATCTTGCTGTTTATCACACGATGAACAAAGAACTCAGAGAAGCAGGTGTTAGAGCCACGATTTATTAGAATCATTCATGTGCTTGTCCTTCATCTAAAAGTTCGCTCTGATCAAATGGAGTTAGTTCAGTATACTTCAGATGCAAACACCGGACAAGTGATGCGTTCGAACGATCATACAACAGCTGCACCTCAAGCGACTAAGAGTAAAGTTCGTTCGTGCTTATCAAGCATCAAAATAATTAATGATCTTGATTGTAGCTGGAAGTATAATTGCGTGATATATCAAACGTAGTGCCAGGTACAAATGAGTATAATTTTTTTTATAAAATTGAAGGTAAAATGATTTCAAAACTATCGAAAGATTTCAGTTTAACTTCTATGAAGAATATCATCTTAACTAATTAAACAAGTAACTTTGGAATAAATATGTCTGCAGGAACTCACGTAGAATGTTCACTATCGATTATTGGTACCCTCCAAACTAGTAACAGCAGGTTTTATAAAAGTCAGAAAGCGTTTTCATAAAAATCCCGAGATTTTACTGGACCGGTCTCGACTAATATTATAGAACGACTATTTTCGATACATACCACACCTGCTTGTCAGCTACAGCAATTTTCTCATCATTTGATTTAAATTTTCCCTAATGCACCGATGCACGTCGTAAAAAACATTTTTAAGCAAATGCAAACCAGAGTTTGCTATTTCAGCATCGTTTGATGTTGTTACTGATATCAAGGGACATTCGTGTTCGTAATTATAGAATCAAAAATTGTTGTTAGGAGTAATGAAAGTGATTGCCATGAAAGTACATTGGACAACAGTCGTACAAATTGTGGTCGCATGCGATTGGCGTCAAATAGAACGCACGGAGCTCTCTATCTGAAGTAGAGAATCAGATCGCTTCGACATAAGATTGTTAGGAAGGGAAATACTTTTACAGCCAAGAGTGTCTGTTTTACGGTACTCGAAGTGAAAAATACATATTTTTTCAAGTTTAAACCGTTTGAAATAAGAGTAAATTTTAATGCGTTTTTGCGAAACAGGTTGAATAGGTTCTCGAATCGAAACATCGATTAGCAACAGATTTTAAAACAAAAATTATAGTATTTGTTAACATCAGACATCTATGTCAAACTTACCCTAGAATTTCATTTTCAATAAGAAAATCTTTCATTTCTTTAGACGTAATTAATTGCCTGCATTAAAAAACATTTTTGTTGAATACTCGCTATTTCAACGAAAATAAACATTTAAAAAATCAAATACGCATTTCTACGTGCATTATATTATACCTACACTAACAATATAGCTCCTATACCCACATTAATATTTTTAAATTAGAATATTTGTATTTGGTTTCAATCAATTTTTAGCTGCATTCAACTGCGTGTCGCGAAACCCATTAAAAACTGCTACATAGATATGACTGTAAGGCAACCTTAGCTTTTGTAATAAACATAGTACGTATATCAAAATACTTCAAAAAATATCCTTTAAATAATGACCATCTCTTTTTCAATCGACTTTGCAAAACTAGCTTGAATATGTTAAATTTTCGCGCACTACTGTGGAGTAGCCTCCTGAAGCGCTAAACTTGCTAACACCATTTAGATACTCCATAAAATTAATATAAAATGCATTATTGAATGCTAATTAATTAGCCCCTGACATTCCGTTTGGATGTTGTTGCAGACCTAGAAGTAGCATAAAATATAAATCACCTAAAAAATATCTAAAATCCTGGAAGAATTCACAGGATAAGAGAAACTAAAACGAGGAACCGCTAATACCACGTCGCTAGCACGAGACTTCCTCTCCACCCTCACGCGAGAGACAGAGAAGAAGAGTGCAGGGTATCCTGCCTACGCTGCCTCATACCTGAGACCCGCAGGCAAATGGCGCGAGATCTGCGGTGAGGCGCCTTGCTGCACTGAGCTGGGATTATTCTAACACACGAATGCCAGAAATCAACTGCAGTTTTGCTACCTGGCTTGACCGCTAGCGACAGCGTCAATTTCCGTAGAGTTTCGTGGAACGTTTCTCCCATTAAAGGCGCAGTAGCCGCTTTGATGAAACCCATCAATACTTGATTGCTAATCCAGATCTCATTCACTATCAATCGGGAATTTTAAGACAATTTAAACCTGTTCTTAGATAAATCCTTGCCAATTCAAACAACTACTGATGCCTTTTTGCCACGGTTCGGGTCGTCCTGGCCCAGTTTGATCTTGCAAAAGAGCGTTTTTTCTAGGTTGTTTTTTTGCTAGGTTTTATACACATTTATTATATATATTTTATATATATTAATATATTTATAGCTAGGTTTTTCTAGGTTGGAAGCCTGTAGCAACGCGAAATACCATACGACCTCAGACAGGCAGTAGTGATAGAATAGAGTAGAAGTGTCGGCACTGAAGAAATAGGCCAATATATGGCCTGTTGCCGATTTTTGTGCTTTTCGTGACTTAATTAACAAGGGATCCGGCCTTTGGAACCCGATCTTTCCATAACTGACGATTGATTGAGATAGCTGCTGGACTTAGTGCCTGGTCCGTAATTTGCTAGGCGATGTGACAGAAGGTATAAAATTAAAATAACTACCGTACTATCCAAGATGAGTTGTGCATAGAAGTAATTTTTGTAACTTTAGCTAAAGATAAACTTGCTTTTTTATAAACTTGCTGAAGGTAAAATGCTTTTGGAACTGTGAAATGTTTTTGAAACAATTATAATTAACTTTTATGAAACGAACAGTGAACTAGCACCAAGCCAAGGACAAAGCATTAATGAAAAAATAAAAAAAGCATGAACCTTACTGCAAGGGTTTTTAATTTTTCTGATTACGTTTAAAATTGGGAGAGGATGATATTCATATCGATGTTTCTCTTTAGAGGAAGTCGAATGATTTAGTTGTTAGGTTTTCCGGCCCTAGTGGTTGTAATGGCAAGTGATGGTTCTCGATCCGTCAATAACGAAGTTAACAAGGAGGAAGAATATAAACACATGGAAAGATGCAACACGACCTACATTGTAAAAACCCGAAACAGGCCTAAGTACAGAAATTGAGCGGAGTTATCGTCAATGCACGAAATAACACTGAAATAATAAATCAGACACAGACCAGAAATTGGAGACAGTCAGTGTCAATAGCTATGTACAACTCTGACACAAACTGGCCACTCTCTGCTAAAATACCCGCCTCTCCTAAAATAAAAGAACTGTCTAATTTTCAAGTTTCCATAAACTGGTACTCCGGAGTCATCCGGGAACGGAG